AAAAAAAAAAAAAAAAAAAAAAGCGTGTATAAACTTAAGTTCTTAAATGAGGCAGTTTTTTTTTGTTGTTGTTTTTTCATAGAATACCATGAGAGACAGAAATAATGGTTTTCAGCCATAGGTATCTGGTAAGTGGTTTTCTCAGAAATAAGTGAATTGAACTTAGTATGCGCACCTTAAAGAAACAACAGTATTTGTTGCCAATTAGTAAAATACAAATTTTAAACAGAAATTGGAGTTTTATCTGCCATTGTGAGCTTGATAAATGTAACTTTTCTATATTATGTAATGGATGATGTCAGTATTTCGGAGATCTGGAAAACTCAGACCAGTTTTCTAAGATTACTAGTGCCTGATGTAGGTTGAGGATTTCTAATCTAAAAAATATAAATGCTCCAAATCCAAAGTTTTTTGAGTCCTGACATGAGTCTCAACAGTTTCAGATCTCGCATCATTTCAGAAATTGAGATGCTCACCTGGTAAAATGTTTACAAATAGGCCAAAATCTGAAACTTCTGATCTTAAGCTTTTTAGATAAAGGCTACTTAACCTGTATTAAAATAGTATGCATGGGAAAAGATCCATTCAAAGTGCAAGATGGACCAATGGTATTTTTGGGGGGAGGAGGGCGTGCAGGGGACAGAGGTAACTCAGGGCCTCACGCTTGCCAGGCAGGTGCTTTGCCTCTGAGCTACATCCTTGTCCCCGTAAAGCCTCATTCAGTCCTAGGTGGAGCTTTTTAGAGGTGGCTGGATCTGGAGTGTGTGATACTAGGATTGAGTATGAGTGCTACATGCCCTAAGGGTGGGCAGCCTGGGTAAGATGTAAGAGACACAAAGAGGGTTATTGCTTGTCACTTGCTGCTTGGGGGGACATCTAGACACAAACCATAACAACCCTTTTTGGTACATCATACCATGTGCAGTTGAAGACCATTTTGTATTCATCCATTTTTTTTTTCCCTGTAGCACTCTACAGGCTATCATAGTCCTCATTATTTTTTGGAAAAAAACTTTCCTTGTTGGTGTCTATGGTATGTATACCTGGCCGCTTTCCATGTTCTCAGTTCTTACTTGATACAGCCCAGAATAACTGCCTGCAGGGAAACCAAAAGTCTGACTAGGCTCCAGATTCTTGGCTACTGTTTTTTTAATCTACTTGTTCATGTCATTTTAACTTTCTTTTCTTACATGTGTAGATCTCAGTTAAGTAGTTAAAATGAATATATTTTGCATGTGTGATAATTTATAGGTGATAATTTAGGGGGTACACTGTCCCAGGTTTTAGACTTAATAATATATACCTTCCCCTTACATACAGTTTACTCAAAATATTGTTTCCTTGAAAGAAAAAAGAATGAACACATAGCAGCTGTGTGCTAGGTGTTGAAACAATGTACTATTTTCACAAAGCAAGACATGAGTAATATCTGCCTCAATTTACTGATGAGAAAACTAAGGTTCAAAGCAGTAACTACCTAAGGTCACAAGCTATTAAGTGGTCCAGAGGAGTCTGAAATGTGTCAGTTTACTCACAAATGGATTCCCTAATCAACCACCTGCCACTACTTGCATAACCTCATCTAGAGGTGCTGGTAGAAACTATACATGCAGCATATGTATATACAGTATACAGTGGTTGAGGAAATATTACAGTTTTAACCTTTAAAATCTTTAAACGGTGGTCTCACTTTCCATAAACTAAATATACAAGCAACTGGTTGGTTCCTAAAAATAGATGTCAGTTGACAGAGACTGCCGGAGCAAGAATAGGAATACCTTCAGGACCAGAAGCTTTTGCTTCCCCAACACACTGCTGCAGCTCTCTTCACTTACTCCAAGGTACTGCTATGTCTCTGTAAAACTATGGCCCACAGCAGCTCTGTTAGTCACCCATTACTCTAGGGTGGCTTGTGCTACAACAGTCATTTCAGGTGGTTCTATTTCAGGCTTTTGATGTGTAGTCAGCCTGTTCACCCGAATCTTTCAAGGAATCAAAGCCTTATGACACAGAAGCACACACACAGTCTTAAGTGTTCAGAGAACAGTGTGAAGCCCTGGGGCCTACTCCCAGAATTGGGGTGGGGGAATGTTGTCCGGTTGGCTAAACTTCATGGATCAACAGACAGTTGGCAAGGGATAGGAAGTTAATCTGAGGACAGGATTTGTGAAGTTTTGGGTTTACTGACTTAAATAACATAACGTGTATTCCTAAACAAAAAGGTGTACAAGATGTGATCAGGATACATAGTGAATGTTTTTTAATTCATTGCAGTCGAAGACACTCCGCCGTTAATCCCCTTCATGCTGCTCCTTTAGCTTCACACACTTAGCCCACCGTTCTTGCCACTTTCTCGATCAGTTCTGGAAGTCTCTTTTATGGATTTCTTATGAGACATGATCAAAAATATGCTGAATGCTGCTGCCAAGTGCCATCCAGTGCAAAGTGAGGCTGCTGAAAACATTCCAGTATGTCCTCCTCTACCTCATTGGTGAGATCTGGCTCCAGGCAACTTCTGGCTCTTCCCCAAATTAAAATGACCATGAAAAGAAAACATTTTTAATTACAGTGCAACTGAAGACACTCATAGATAAGTGGCAAAAATGGTACCATAAGTGTGTTCAAAGCAAGAGGAAGTATTTTGAGGGGGGATTAATATCAATGTATCCTTAACTGCAGCAAATCTTAAAACTCACTGTATTTTTATCATACCTTACAACCTGATAAACATCATTTCTGACTAGATTGTGAACTAGCTTAAGCATACATATTTGTCAATGAGATTTTGTACTATAAAACTGTGATATAATGAAGGATAACAAAGAGCCAGCTCATACCCAATCTATTTATTTCTGAATGCCATCTCTTTTCGAGAACAAAGAAAAGTTCAGTAAGAGGTAGTACGTCTTATTTCCCCATTGCTGGAACAAAACAGGTAAGTTAAAGAAAGGGAGATTTATTTTGGCTTAGTTTATAGAGGTTTCAGCCCACAGTGGGCTGGTTCCAAAGTGGGATGGCATGGCAGAGGACAAACAAATGGTTCATGGCAGGTCAGGCAGGAAGTGGAGGAATCCAGGAAGAGAATGAACATAGAGGTTCAGAGACAGAGTGGAGATAGCAGGTAGGAAACACAACTACATATACCCTTCCAGGCTGTGTCCACACATTGACCCAGCTCATCCCACCGAGCTTCATCTCCAGTAATGAGTTTCACGTACCCATGACACCGCCATCTCCCCCAAGGCCCCACCTATGAGTGCATGAGGTTTTGGGGGGCAGTTTAGATGTATACATTGTAAATGCACTATGTAGAGTTCTAAACTCAGCAACTTACCACCATCTATTTTTTTTGGAAGTCTGCTTGAAAACATATTCCCAGACAAAGAATAGGCACTTTCTAGCTACAAGCAAAACATGTTTAGCTATATAATAGTATTGGTTCTAAAACTGACTTTAGAAAAATATAATATTGGAAGTCTCTATAATTTCTCCTGTAGTATTAAAAGGATTGTCTTGCTCTTTTATAAATAAGTGTGGCAAAATGTTAAGATTTGGTAACTACAGGTAAACAGTGCATGTGTATTGTACTTCTTTCAACTTTTCTGAGATCGAAAATCTTAAAAATTACATGCCTTTCAAAATCAACATCTATTAGGTGTGAGTAGTGTTTCTAAAAATCACAAAGAATGATAAATAACCAACATAGCTTAGTATTACCAAATTTTACTACACTCTTTTATCATATATATGTGAACTCATAGGGATTATAGAGTTTAAAACCATATGTTTTAAGATAAAGGGCCTTTAACTTAGAGAGCCAAAGCACTTGGTATATTTGCTAAAGAGTTTTGTTTTTCAATTATTAAAAGTTACTTAATAAAGACTTGTTTCTATAAAAATGAAAGAAAAATTATATGCTCTTTAAACACTAATAAACACCAGACCTGCATTTGTTGTGGCGAGAAGCTTGCAAAATGAAAAATGAGACCTGGTAAGACAAGCAGATTCATATTTTTCACCTTTTTCTTAAGGCTGTTTTTGTTGAGAGAAGAAGGCAGAATGGTCCTCAGTGTTGAAAACCTCATGCTTTTTCTAGTATTAACTGAAAGACAGGTTTTAAAAGTAATTATTTCTGGATCAGTCTTTTTAAGCCTTAAGAAACTATGGCTTCAGCTAGTATGACACTGGGAATGAGAAATATAGAACCAGTCTCTAAGATGATAAAAAACATTTTTTTTGTTCTAGTAGAGGACATGGTTAGAACTGTAATAAAACTTGACTGAATTTAAAAAGATACCAGTACAAGATCTTAACAAGATCTTTAAATTAAGAGGAGGAAAAGAGGCTGAAGCAGGAGGGTCACAAGTTCAAGCCCAGCCTGACTGACTTAGCAAGATTTTGTCTCAAAGCATTAAAAAAAAGGTCTGGGGATGTAGTTCAGCATAGACTCTGGGTTCATTCCCCTGTAATTGGGGATAGTATCACAAGCATTTAAAAGAATAGGAGGTGTCTTTTTGGAGTGATAAAAATATCATCTCTCTTGATTGTGGTATAACTCAAATTGGACACTTAGAAAATGGTAATATTTTGTAACACCTTTATAAGTGATTATAAATCATAAGCAACTAAGATTATAATTGTTAAACTATACACCACCTTACCATTCTGTTGGAGTGTACTTCAAAAGAAATGACCTAGCTCTCATCATTTCACTATACTTTGATAGTATAGATCGTTGACGTGGAGTGAGAGGCTTAAGAGTAATGTATTCTGACGTTGCTATTACAGGCCTGACAGTTAAATCACAACCCTGTTTTTCCTCCTCTAGCGCTGGAATGAGGCCAGATGTGAGCTCTCCTCCATCTAGTTCCTCAACAACAACAGGACCACCTCCTAAACTCTGCCTGGTGTGCTCTGATGAAGCCTCGGGGTGCCATTATGGGGTCTTGACGTGCGGAAGCTGTAAAGTATTCTTCAAAAGAGCAGTGGAAGGTAGTGTGTGTTTTGAAGAGTTCTATTTTTTTCTCTATTTGATTCCCATTTCTCACTGTGGATTGTGAAATTTGTACTTATATGCAAAGCCCACTAAGGTTAGAAAGTCGGTAAAAGGGTAAGGCATGTGGCTCGTAATTCTTCAGTAGGAATGAAGTATTTTTGAAAACACAAGCAGAGCTAAAATTTTTTAAATTATAAATTGATAGGAGAGAGCCTGATTAGAGAACTGAAGGTAACAGTGTAAGACAATGCTATTATGTGAAATGAATGTTGTTAAATTTGAGAAGTAACAGAATACTCATTGTATTAGAATCATGGAATTTGAATCCCCACAAGTTTTAGTTGATTTGAAAGCCACAAACTGTACCGGTTGATATATACCAAACTTAGGCCAACTAAGAGGAAACTCTGAGGGGAAAAAAAGACATTCCTTTCAGCTCTTCCTGCCTTCTTTATCATATTAAGCCAGGGCACCATGCTCGGTGATACAAATACCATTAGACTTGACCCCTGCCCTCTCAGAGGTCACAGACCACCAAAATGACAGTTAACAACTACAAGTACAGAGATTCTAACAGAGGAGGAAGTGATAAATTCTGCTTGAAGCAGGAAAGAGAAGGTATTTTAAAGAAAATGATTTAACTATAGGAATGTTTCATTAATGTAAAACTTTAGTCTGGTTATGGATTTAGACTGCTGACAGAGGCAAGAGCAGTATCTCCTTAAAGGAGTTATTCATTCCATGACAAAGCAACATTGGAAAGAACTCTAATTTTACTATTGAATCCTCTTGGAAAAAAGTAATGTAATTTAGTTATTTGTAAAGCAGTGTGAAGGCATGTGGCTTGAATGATTTACCTGAAGCTCTGATTATATTAATTTTTAGAGAAACATAATCATCCACTGTATAGGGATTATTATTTGTCTAGAGTTATGTTCATATCTTTGAGAGTTAGATGAATCATTTTGTTTGGATTACTTTTTAATACATTAGCAGAATTACTCATGCTGCCCCACCCAGATGACAGGGATACAAGTTTTGTATTAGCTAGCTCCTAGTGTATCAACTAGAATCATAAGTAAAGACCATCTGCATTTAGTATAATTTCTCTATGTCTCTTTACTTGTGCTTACTTTATTCAGCTCTTTATTAAATGTTCAAGTATTTCCATGATGTGAAAATAAATATAGTACTATTGTGTATAAGAAAATTGACAAAATGCTTTTTGAAAATGAAATTCACAGGCAGTGGAGCCTTAAAAATTTTGAACATTAAAAAATAGTTTTACGTGCTCTTTAAAACAGGGCTATAAATTCTAATGCCTATGAGGATTAGCTATTTAACACTCTGGCACACAAATCTTATCTCCCAAATACATCACCATGGCAGGCTACATGGCCGTTGTGCTTAAATCTCTCCTTTATATTAATTTCTTGTGTAGGAGACATTATTTTTACCAGGCCAGAGATCCTTAGTTTTCTTCAATATTTGAAAACCAGTTCAAAAGAAGACTATAAAAATGTACATTTGGGAGGGAGGAAACTTTTACTCTTTTTAAGAATTGCAGTTCTCCTTAACACATAAGTGAACACTATGTAGTAAAAGATTTAGATGATAACAGTCCTAATATTTGAGGTCAAAGGTGAGTCAATCATTGGTATATTCTAACTGCATGTGAAATAATGATCTATGATCTATCTATGGTAGTTTAGTTTCATCATTCTGTAATTTATCAGTTGCTAACAACCTAAATATTGAAGAATATTGCTGTCACTCACTCCCTTTACATTTGGGATGAGAGGCATATTTTATTCGCATATGGTGGCATAATGTTGAATTAAAGCCATTTCCATTTGGGATTCCCACAGTATTTTTAACACAGTTTCTTCTTTCTTTAGGCTCACTGGCATCAGGCCAGAAGTCACAATAAATAGAGTACTTTCAGTGAATAGTGAGTAGACTCAGGCACTAAAATGGTTTGTGGGGTATAATTCTGTTTCTGAATCTGAGAGGTAACACAGATGTGCTCAGTTGCTCACTTTGTGTAAATGTAAAGTATTACACTTAGGATTTGACTATTTGTGTGTATGTAAAGTGTTTTCAGTAGTTGACCTCTCAACTTTGCTGTTACCCATTGGGTCTCAGTCATGTCCTACCTAAAGAAGCTCTACATTTTTAAGAAATTCTTTAAGACTTTTGAAATTTTAAGTGTCTTTTATTCCATTTAGGACAGCACAATTATCTTTGTGCTGGAAGAAATGATTGCATCATTGATAAAATTCGGAGAAAAAACTGCCCAGCCTGTCGCTATCGAAAATGTCTTCAAGCTGGAATGAACCTGGAAGGTAAGGAAAAAATTAGATAGGATTTGTTCATCTCTCTCATATAAAAATTGATCGTTTTACTTTTTAACATATAAATAGGTTGCCATAATAATTTATTCAACTCAGTATTTATGTTTGACTAGCATAAATTTGTATTAATACTCAATAAAATAGGACTTTCATTAATTTTATTCACTTGTTCTTTTATCTTTATTAAATTTATTACATTTTAGGTATATGATACAGTTACATTCATTATGGGATCTTGTACCTTTACATGACAGGTCTTGGTTCTTATTTTTCCCCATTCTCCAGCCCTCTGTTTACAAAATCATTCTTTCTGTGTTATTCCTTTTCACGTATTTTTTCTTTTCCCATTTTACATTTCCCCTACCCCTCCCACTTCCTTTACTCTTTTAGCTTTTCTTCCTATTACACAATATGAATTATTCATATTGACCCTTATTTTCACTTTGTTTTTCACACCAGAGAAACTATTCAGTATTTTCACATGTGTGACTTACTCATTTCACTTAAGACTATGGCATCAATGTGCACCCACTTAGCTATAAATCTATCTAGTTTCGTGTTCTTTATGGCTGAGTAGTACTCCATTTTATAGAAAAACCACATCTGCTCTATCCAGTCTCCAGTTCATAAGCAACTGGTCTGTTTCCAAATTTTAGCTATAGCCACTATAAACATGGGTGAGCATATATCACTGTGCTATGATTCTTTTAATTCTTTTGGGAGATACCCAGCAGAGGAATAGCTGGGTCAAATGGGACTTCTAATCCTAGTTTTTTGAGGTATCTCCACATTGATTTCCACAGTGGTTGCACCAGTCTGCACTCCCACCCACAATGAAGAAGGGTTCCTAATACCCCACAACCCCACCGGCATTTGTTATATATTGTTACTGATTTTTTGATAGTGGCCATTCTTACTGGGGTGAAATGAAATCTCAATGTTTTCATCCGCATCTCTCAAACAACCAGTGATGTTGAACATTTTTTCATGATTATTTGCTGCTTTTACTTCATTGAGAAATGTCTGTTCATTTCAGATGCCCATTTCTGAATTGGGTCTTTTTATTTGGGGGTTCTGGGTTTTTTTGAGTTCTTTATATATTCTAGATGGTAGACCTTTGTCTGAGGAAAAAATTTTTCCCACATTGTAGGTTGTCTTTTAGCTCTACTTATGCTTTCTCTGGCAATGCAGAAACTTTTTAAAAAGATGAAATCCCAATTGTTGATTCTTTGTAGTAGTTCCTGTGCCACTGAGGATTTGTTCATAGTCTTTTCCTTTGCCAGTGTCTTCAAGAGTTCTACCTAACTTATTTAGTGTTTCTGTTTTAATACTTAGATATTTAATCCACTTGGATTTTAGTTTAGTGCATGGTGAAAGATACGGATCTAGTTTTAATCTTTGACAAGTTGAAATTCAGTTTTTCAAACACCATTTATTAAAGAGACTGTCTTTCTTCCAATGAGGGTATTTGGCTCCTTTGTCAAAGATGAGGTACCTGAGTATGTCTGGATTGTTTCTGCATCTTCTAATCTGTTCCACTGATCCTCAGGTCTGTTTCTTTGCTAGTACTATTCCATGCTGTTTTTATCACAGAGGCTTTTGTATATCATTTCATGTTGGAGATTGTGATATCCCCTGTAATGTCTATGTTGCCTAGGATTGCTTTTGCCATACTAGGTCTCTTCTGATTCCAAATGAATTTTTGGATTGTTTTGTCTGGTTCTACAAAATACACTGTTGGGATTTCAGTGGGGATTCACTGGTTGTTCTTACAAACACTGAATTCAGAATAGGCAGACTATACACGAAAAGGAAATTACATAATAAACTTATAAAAGTGAAGTTGCTTCAAACTATATCTTACTCCTTTTAAATTCTCAAAACTATTCCCTAAGATTGGAAATATTTCTGTATTAGGTATATTTATATGTTCATTTTCTGTGTTTTACCTTTGAAAAACATACCTTTAACTTGGAAGTATGTACAGTGAAACCTCAAATTAAAACTAGAATTTTAGTTTTAACTTAGGACCAAAGTCTTGAGTTACAACAGGAATGCATGCCACTTGTGACTCCAGATGGTTGCTGGCATAGTTTTAACCCTTAGAGAGTTAGAGAGTTCTGAAATGAACATTATTACAACATCCTTTCCTGCGTGGGGTTAACTAAAAAATGCTGGGTCATTGTCTCTCTAAGGACACAAATCTGCCTGTACAGAGGAACATGAGCCTTCAAATGATGAATCTGAGTTACAACCTCGCAAATGAATTGAGTTTGTAAGTCAGGGGTCCACTGTATGTCTTTAAAGTTACAGGTATGCCAGTAAAAAAGCTGAAGAAAGCATTGTATGGGTTTTTTTCAAGTAAAGAAACCTGAAAGTAGTTATGTTAAGAGTTTCATGTCCCTGTTTATATAACTAGTTGTATAATTAACACTGATCTCATCATTAAAAACTTTGCTCTGAAAAAAAAGCTAAAATTCTGCTGTAGTTGAAATGGCAAGTTAAACGAATACAGTGAATACATCATAACTCATGTGTTTAGTATTTGTTGTCATAGTAATGCTTCAGCAAATATTCACCAAGACAGTTATTAGACATAAAATGATTAAAATTATACGAGTTTGCTATTGAAGATTTAAAGTCAATCACAAAATAGTGTGGCATACAACTGGCCAAATAATGCTGTAGAAATAAGCAGGAAGGTCCACCTGATTCTGTCCTGTAAGGCAGAGAAAGCATCTTCGAAGAAATAACACTGAATTTTAAATCTAGAAGCTAAGTAGGAATCAGACAAAAAATAATGTTAAAAGCAGGATCAGATTTGTATTTTTAATAATCTAGATAAGAAAAAGAATGGAATGCTGTGATTTTTTTTTCTCTTTGAGTTTATTGGTACATTTTAGGTATACAGTACAGTTACATTCATCATTGGGATCTTGTACCTTTACATGACAGGTCTTAGTTCTCATTTTTCCCCTTACCCATGCCCTCCTTTCACCCCCCCTTCCCTATTTTCAAATACTTTATTTCCATTTTTTTATATTTTTTTCTTTTCCCTTATTTCCTTTACCCTATTCTTCCCACTTCCCCTATACCTTTAGCCCTTTTCTTCCTATTTCACATTGTCAATTATACCATTAGGATCTGTGTACCATTATAGTTTTTCACACCAGAGAAACTACTCGGTATTTATATATGTGTCTTATTTATTTCACATATGAGTAAATCCTCAATATGCATCTTATCCTATGAATGACTCTAATTTCTCATTCTTTATGGTTGAGTAATATTCCATTTTATAGAAAAAACACATCTTTATCCCGTGTCCAACAGATGGGCAAATGGGCTGTTTCCAAGTTTTAGCTATTAACAAACTGTGCCGCTATAAACATGGGTGTGCATTTATCACTGTTATATGATTCTTTTAATTCTTTTGGAAAGATATCCAGCAGAGGGATGGCTGAGTCAAATGGAACAGTACTGTTCTCTTGATAGGAGACTGTTGGTGCTGCCTAGCACACAATCTGTGTGTGATATTAGAGTCTAATTCCCTAAACTACACATACAGCTTCAAGTGGGACCAGATTACTCCACTGCAGAGTGCTAGCTAACATGTTTAAATGAAACATTGTTTATAACTGCTACCCATTTTCTTGTATTACAAAAGCTAGAAAGATTAACTAAAAATTCAGGCAGAAGTTCACTTTCAATACCATAAGGTAATTTCTTTGTTATTATGAAATCTTTGTCCAGATTTTACCCAGTTTCATTTTGCTGCTATCTAATTTCCTATGCATTATATATTGGCCATTTAAATATGACTGATTTCTTTAATCCAGCCCAAGTTTACTACTTAGTTTTCATGTTTTCATCTATTTTATATTTAGAAATAAGTCACAAATAAAGCTCAAAGAATAAACCCAGATAAAATTCTTTGATATCATTAACATAGTATGATTGCTTACCCAATAACGTTTTTAAAAGCGTTCACAAATACTTGACAAATTTCAGTCTGGAGCTTTAAGCATATAATGCTTCTCTGGGTATCGTCCTTATATCCAGAGTATAAGGCGGTGGTGATGAACCTACAGCACAGGTGCTACAGCGAGCTGCCTGTGTTATTGAAAGCTCTAAAAGGTTCATCATCAGTGGTATAAGGTAATTCTTTATTCAGGAGAAATAAGACACAGCAACTAATGATCCCTGATAGAGCGAAGGCTACATTTCTCCTCTCTTAAATATACTGAATAACAACTCCTGTTTCCATGCCTTTACTTCATTAGAAGACAACCAACAAGTGTATGCTTTTATAGTGGTCAATATAAGAGATCAGAATTGAAGAAATTAGCATTTGTTGAGTCATTACATGCTAGTTTTTCATGTATGTTCAACTCAAAGAGGTTATTTTGGACCATCGTAGTAAAAACATCTTACAGTAGGTTTAAGATTAACTTTTATATCCATTTATATACTACATAGTACAACAAAATTCTAGTTTATCATTTATATTATAGTAGATGTTATATGGTACATGGGGTAATCGGTTCTGTTTATAGACAAATTGAAAGGCTTAAAAATGTAAGTTAATAGGTTATGTGTTATGTGTGGTTTTATTGTGAAAGCCTCATTTTTGTTTTGAATTCATCCCAGTGCATATAAAACTTTTATTTAGAGTAGGTATGTGGGTATTCCAGAAATGTGTGGTAGACCATAATATTTAAGAACAAAATAGATGAGCCATGTTTTTCACACTTCTTTTTTAATCCTTGGAATTAGGCTCTTGTTTATCAGAGTGCTTCCCCCAGCCAAACAGTTTTGATAATAGTCCCAGAATAACTTTGCAAAAGCAATTGGTTTGCTTAGCACCCTTATCCTCTCTGTAAATATGTAATACTGAAATTGGTGTGTTTTGATACTGTTACCCCAGAACAAGTAAATCTCAAGATTTAACTAGCCTTCTTCACTGTGTAAAGTCCCTGGTATTTAAATATTTAAATATAGATGTTTTTAAATGATAGCCCTAAATGTCTTACACTCATTTCTTGGTGTTACCCTATGGACACTGCCACTGAGCTATACCCTCAGCCCATTTTACTTTGAGATAAGGTCTCACTGGGTTCCCCAGGTGGGACTTAAACTTGCCGATCTTCCTGCCTCAGTTTGGCTGAGAATTAGAATCAGAGGTGTACATGACACACCTGGCTGTTCATATCACTTTAAGGTGTATGATGATAATTCCACAGTAGGCCTTTATTTTTGGTATAAATGGTCAGTTGGAATTTAAAACACTGGTTTTCACTTAGGACTATAGGTAGTTAGAAATTAATTATGTATGTATTAACAGAAAATTATTTTTTAAATCCTCCATGTTACTTTTCTTTTACCTTTGTTTGATGTTAAGTATAGAAACATGCATCCCAGCTCTTTTGAAGCATGGCTAATTGAGGTTTTGCGGTACCATTTCAGTGTACTACTTGGGTACAGGCATTATTCTCACATCAAGTTACATTTCATGGTTTTGGGTGTGAGATACTCTTCCTTTTTAAAATTTTATCGCTCTATAGAGTTATTTTCACTGAAAGTACTCTATTCTTAAAACATTTTCGTTTAAGGTGGGGTAATGATAGGGACTTACGTAGTACTTACTGTGTACTAGAAACTGTTCTAATAATATTCTCATCTTACAATTAAGGTATGTGGGATAACGTGTACAGAACCTAGCTATAAAATGGTAGAATTGGGATTTAAGCCCAATATCCTGATTTCAAATTGGTGCTCTTTACTATTTTAATCACACCATGCCTCAAAGAGAGCATGGCAAGTAAATTAGAATAGTTATGTCATATGATCCTGTTTTGAAATGTTAAGTAAAAATTAACTTTCTCAATGTCCACAGAACAGTTGTTTTGTTTGTTTTTTGTCTTTTTGTTTTTTAGTACCAGGGATCAAACTCAAGACATTGGCACTTGCGAGGCAGGCAGTGCACCACTGAACTAAATCCCCAGCCCAGGACACTCTTTAATATGAATGACAGGCATTTTGCTTAACCATCATATCCATTTTCCACAAACTATAAATATTTTGTCATTGTAAGGATAGAAAGTCTAATAATTATTTTAATTTGCATTTACTTTTCCCTTTGTAAAATGGTTTGCATGCTGATAACTGAGGCAGATACATTTCTTCTTTTATAAAAATTGTATTCCTTGCCCTTCTTTGACATGTTCAGTACTTTCTCTTTAAGAGAATACTATGATTCTTAGAATAACTTCAGGAGTATGAACAGGTTTACTAAACAATGCAGAGACTCCATGCTACAATTTGACTAGAGTATTTTATACGAGGTCAAAGATGTAACTTTATTTACCTAAAGTATGAAAAAGGATATTTCAGGTTTATAGTCATCATTATAAATTTTCCACTTAAAAGGGAAATTATGCATTGATAACTTATGTTAAAAAATGTAAAGTTTTTTTTCACCTCCCTGTTTTATTCCTACATACACAATAGATTTTTCTATTGTTACAATTAATGCAATTTTTAGCATATGATCTTTTTTTTTTTTTTTAATACTGGAATACCAGGGATCGAACTATTTTCTCTTTTTTAATACTGGAATACCAGGGATCGAACTATTTT